GTTCTTTAGGCAAATTATTGGTCTACAAGTCTACTAATGCTCTGTGACACTTCTTAAGGTAGGCACTGTGTCTTATCCTTCTCTGTACTCACAAATGAAGGGAGGTTCTAATGAAATGCTTGATGAATGATTGAATGAATGAATGCATGCATGCATTCAATAGCATCTTGGTTCTATTGATATGCTAGATATCCTGGGTGTTGTGTAAATCTTAAAATATTTAGGCCTTGTATTGAAATTCCATTTTGTATTTGTTCATGGGCTGGCCTAATAGAGCATCTCATTAAAACCCTACTTTAAGTCTGAATCTTCTCTTTTCTCTCTCTTTTTTTTTTTTTTTTTTTTTTTTTTTTTTTTACCTTTGTGTTTATTTACTGGATTATGAGTCTTTGAGTTCTTTAGAAGAAAAGTACTATGTGTAAACTAAGGGTAACTACTGATGACTTTTCATGGTTATAATTTATTAATTAGTCTGGAAAATGCTTCTAACAACTTTGTGCTGATAATCTGAGGACATGAGTTTTATTTCCAAATCTTCCCTCTCTAAGAGCTATTTTTATTAATGAGGAAAGTATAGGCTGGCTCTCCTCAGTCTTATTCCCAGATATCATCAATTGAAGAGAAATAAAAATCCTTTTCCATTACACTTGAATTAAGAGCAATTTGTTAACTGTATGGGGATTTCTCATAATTCAGAAGTTCTCTTTTTATTCCTAGATGATTTTATATTCACTAAAAGCATAAATTTGGAATACTTCATTACAAGATGGGGTTGATAGGATAAAGAACAATTTTTTTCATACATGCTTAAAAATTAGCTATATTATGGCTAGCTGAACTTTGTGCATAGATCATTGGAATTCATGGTGATTTCCCTTCTTCAGGTTCAGAGTCATTGACTACTAAGGCTGGAGGTCATCCAGTTCAGTCCTTTTATTTTGTCAAAACTGAGGCCAGAGAAAAAGGGATTTTCATCAGAGCAAAATCGTTTTGATCTTTTCCAATAGTGAACATTATAAAACAAAACAATAATAGAACAGGATATCACAGAGCAAAAGGGCTCAATTTTTGCTTTATCTCCCTCTTTAATTCTCTGCCTCCTTTCAACTCTCTTGCTGCAGTGAAAAGCTCAAAAGATAAGCAAAAAAGGAAAGAAGGGGTGATATAAAAACTGGGTTATTGATCTTAAAAAATTGAAACTTGCATATGATAGGTTATATTCACAAGCCACACAAGCTCTTAGCATGTTGTGGCTATACTTTATGCTGGTTCTTAGATAACAATGACCAGCAAATAGGGGTAACTGCTCAGGGGTTTTCCTTTTGTGGCTTAGCGAGAAGGCTCTTGAACTTATCCAACGGGTTGGTCCCAGGAGTGATGGCAGTGTTCCTTTCCCCTGGTGCCATCTGGGTCCAAGGGCCAGAGATGGGGGAGGGGGCAGCCAGGGCTGCAAATGACTGTAGCTCTGGGTCAGGCACACCCACACCTGCTCTTATACATGGGCTCCCTCAACTTCCACAGGTATTTGTCACACAAAATTCCAAATCACTATTTAGAAACTTTGACCCAAATTGACTAAAGATGAAAATCTATTGTGTATCGAGAAATAGCCTAAACAGAAGGATGAGCAAAACCCACCATTCTCCTCAAAGAGGTGATAATTGAGGGCTTTTCACTTCCAGAGGGAAGGGCCCTTTGGTGGTATTAAAACCTGCATGGGTGGGGCTCCTGGGTGGCTCAGTCCCTTAAGCAGCAGACTTCCGCTCAGGTCCTATCTCACAGTTCCTGGGTTCCAGCCCTGTTTCATGCTCTGTGCGAACGGCTCAGAGACTGGAGCCTGCTTCAGATTCTTTGTCTCCCTCTCTCTCTTCCTCTCTCCTGCTTGGACTCTGTCTCTCTCAAAAAATAAACAAACAAGCAAACAAACAAAACCCTGCATGGGTGTCCTGTCCCTATACTTTAGATATATCACTCTGTCCTATTACCAATAGGGACACCAATCAGCAGTCATAAATGTTAGCAACTAAACTGGACGTGTCTATTACTAATACGTCTTGTTTGCTTTCTAATGTTTCAACATTTCATTGTAAATACTAGGTTATATATTAATTATCATTATCGACTTAACAAAACTCATCTTTTCCAGCCAGATGTGAACATTTTGAAAGATTAGACTATCTTAAAGTCGTGTAAATAATTCCAGGTGATTAATAACATGATTTGACAATGTAGTTAAGAATGCTAATTTAATTGCTTTTTATATCAATATCTCACTAGGAAGGAGACACTAGTCAAATTAGACAATTGGGCTTTAGTAGCCTGATACTATCTTAATGTAAATTAAGAGTAAACATTTGAAAACAATAGAGGAGCTAAAAAAAATTTTTTTAAGCTTGGGTAATTGAATCCTGATTCAAAATGGTATTTACCACTAGAATGTAATATGCTACCTACTGCTCAGTCTATTATCTATCATTATCTTTTGAACCCTATAATTGGACAAACAGGCAACTATTCATAATAATAAGTTTGTTCAAAATCATCCTTTTGCTGGAGTCTGGGGTGCACTCTGCAGTCATATTGAACTGAAGGCAAAACTGCTTACTTTATCCTTTCCATTGTTTGTTCTTCTTTGTTACCACAAAGCACAGCAACGCTGCACATCTGGACCGTCCGGAGCATCTTCCCAAAATTACAAAACAAAAACCTATAATTTTTTTCCTGCATTCCATGAATGGGCAACATAAATCATATTTGCTACAAGATGGGCCACCATTGAATCGGAGCCATCCTGTGCCCAGAGTGTATGCACATAGCTATGCTTAACACAGAACTGGGGTACGCAAATTGCCTTTTGGAATTTCCATTAGATCTAACCACGTATTTATCCTATCACTGGTTTTATTTTTCAGTGATTCTTTAGTAGTTATATCCCTTCTATCACAGCTGTCCAAACATCAAGTTGTGCAGGGCTCCACCTCACATTGGGCTCCTTCTAAGAGATTTAAATGGAAAGGCAACACAAGCCATTATTGGTTTATTTTCAGTTTTCATTATCAATAAAACAAGAGATCAGCATTTTCATGCTGTGTGAAGCCTTCAGGGAAGTGCAATGTCGCTGTCATTATTTTTAGGCCAGACTGCCGCCTGCCCCGACTAATGCAGATGGGATGATGAATCCATCAAAATAGAGATAAAATGATGAAAGAAAGCATCAGAGTCGGAGAGTGGGCTTCTGCCCTGGTCTGCTGCATGGCTCCCTGACAATGTCCCTTTGAATTTAGTGGAGCCTGGATGGTAAAGACCACAGATCATGACAGAACATAAATTCGCCTCATAATGAGATTAGGAGGCAGGCAAAATAAATGTCCTGCTGTTAAATGAGAGCCAGGCTCTAATCTGGTGTTTTCCTTGGAAATGATCATTTCCTTTGCAACAGGGGAACCGTCGGCCCAACTAACTTAAATCTGACAGATTCTGTTTTGCCACATGGTTATTTTTCATCTTCTTCTGTCTTTTGGTAGCAGTTTTGAGGAGGCGTGTAAATGAGTTGTGAGTCTTAAAGACTATTACTGAAGTGAGTTATGGACGACTATGTTCATGATCATCAGTTGTATTTCTCTGACTCCCCTTTTAAGAAAAGTTCTGTGCAACTCCCCTTCCCCCTTCTAAACAGGACCAGGCTGTGGAGGAGGTGTTGTGACCCCCAGGGTCCTCTCGCTCTACCTTTAAGGATCAAAGGCAGAATAGACTCACTATTGTATTTGGGGTATTTTTTTTTTTTAATCTTAACCGCAACTCTACTACTTAAAACCACTGGAAGCAAGTATCACATACTAAAGAGCCTTAAAAAAATGCCCAGATCAGGTGAACCCACATGGTCTCTGAGTAGAACAAAGGCCTTGAGTATGCAGCTTGATTGCAAAGCACTTTTTTGGTTTTCAGCAGAAGGCAATCTCACCTGGAGTACAATACCCTCCTCTCATTAAAAATGCAAGATAGGATCTCCTCCTGGATCCTTTCTATAGAACCTGATGCAAGTTCATGGGCTGCACTGTCCTTAGCAGTGAGTGGCATTTAATCAAAGCCTTCTGTGAAATAATGTCAGAGTTTCCCGAGCCCTGTAAAGTCACCAAGAGAGTTAAGAGGTCCTTTAAAAAGGAATGGGAGATCGGACTCTGAACTTAGGAGTATTTAAAGCTTCTGCATAGAAGAAGGCACAGACAATTTAATGTACACCTAGTTTCTCTACATTTTCTCAGGTCCGGGCTAGAGATTCCTTACTTCTTTGTGAAACTGCCCAACAGGAATAAGTCATTTGCTAGCATCCTGATATATGGTATTCTGACATATTGTTTTTAGGCTGGAATAAACCCACAGAAATCTTTTGTGTTTACATATGCATTTTACAGTGTATGCAGTGGTTTACAAACACTAGCGCATCTAATGAAACAGTTTCCTTTCTGCTTCTGGTGTTTCCATCCAAAAACTTAAACTGCAAACCCAGCTACTATGAGGGAGAAAATATATTTGTGGCCCAATTTAACAAGCTTTTCTCTTTTACCTTTCTTACTTCTCAATGGTTTGAATTGTATCGCTACTTGTATATTTTCTATGCCTTGATTTGTAGATGTCTGAAAGTTTCAAGTCAATTCTGCTCCCTTGCTCTGTTAACTCCCCTCCTTGTCACATGAAACAGTCCAAGGGAAGACAGACTTTCTGTTAAGTAGGTGCTCCCATGTTCCCTGGTGCTCTCTTACAACTCACCTTGTCATTCCTTAATTCTTTCTTCCCTGCCCCACCAGATCTCTCCCCCACTCTCCACGGCACCCCTGGATTTGTAATTTAAATTGCAAACAGTAACTTTACCAAGTGTCCAGCATATCTGTCACATGTTAATGATTTTCTGATAGCAACCCATGCATTGAACTCTGAGTTCATGCTAAAGTTCCACGTCCAATACTTTCCCTGAAGGAATTCCCCAAATTATGTTTGCTTACCTCATATAAATGAACTTGTTCTTGGGTTACAGCAAAGATTAATAACACGTTATTTTGCACCAGTTTATCAATGAGTTGTCCAATTGTTGGATATTCCTAAAATTGACATATAGATTTTAAATGTCATCTTAACACAAGAGTGTAAAATAAAGAAAGGAGTATTTCTTTCAAAGATATCATACTGAGTTTGGCATTTCAGTTTGGTTCTAAGTAAACAAATACACAATTAGCATCAGTCACTCAATTGGTTTAATAATTGTTTCCTAAATCTTGCAAATCGAATTAATTCCAGAGAGTCAGTGCCTGGCAATGTGGTATATTATGCTCAGTCACTTCTAAGGAGAGCACTTGGGGAATTTACTTAAAGAATTATAGTGTGTCGTATTTTCAAGGGTAGAGACACGGTTCTTCTAAGCGCTGCTTGCCAACAGGCTCAAGCTGTAGAGAATGTTAGAGCTGGGGGAGGAGCGGTAGACATGACGGATGTGACTGCGGTGACTCAGGTAGCTCGGACACTCCTACTGGAATTGGATGAGGCGGGAGGAAGGGACAGCCTGCTAAGAAATGACACACTAGGGTTCCTACGTCCATCTGATTTGAGACGTTCCTGCACCAGTTTTGGATTTGGTTTTACTGACTTTTTGATGTCACTAATCAATTTTAGGGGATCCTGCGACATTTTTACAGGACAACTGAAAACACATTGTATTTCTTTTTCATTGACACATTCATGCCCAAGTGATACGAGCTCTTTAAAAAACCAGAAAGGCATAAATGATCAAATTTGAACATGGCCTCTACTTTCCAAGGTTAAAAAACATGCAGCACACTTGGCTGTTGTACGAATCCAAACGTGGATAATGTACAAACAGGAAACTCAAATGAAAGAGTAGCCTGCAAACAGTGAGGCTAAGATGATGTTGATCATGAAGGCAGCCAAAGCAGAGCAACACTGACATGTAAGCCCTCTCGTACACTGATGTGTTGTGTTCACATATTCTCAGCACTCTGGGACTAATTCTGCCTGATATCTTCTTTAGGCACAAGATTCAAATTCCAGGAAAACTATAGTTTTGTCTAAAATACTCCGGTAAATGATCCAGCTGCGTATCTGGCTGTGTAAAATGGGCTTGCCATCCGATTTGGATTTTTATTAGTAGATATCCAGATAACATAAATCTTCCGGGGTCTGACATTTTCAGTGTCCCCTGCTTTTCAATAGCCCAAACACCCAAAACCCCTGACCTTCAAGCCTAAATTCCTCCATCGCTGGGCCTTCCTATCTCCACATTCTCACACTTTCTACTGATGTGCATGTTTTGCAAGGATCACACTATGAAGCCCTTCATAGATGGGCAAATGTGGTTTTCTATTTGGCCTAAATCAGTTGGTTTAATTTCCACAGTTATATTGTAAGTTCCTCAAGGCCAGGGACCGTGTCCTATTATTTTGTGGCCCTTGGAGCCTGACTCAGCACTGAGTACATAGGAAGTGTTCAAAGGACCCAGGGAACTATGCTGTAGGCAGACATGGAAATAATCCACAACTCCTGTGCATTTGCACCAACTCACTGAGCAAAAGTAAATTGAACTTTTATTAGATGGGAAGGTCATACCAAGCAACAAGTAGTGCTTGCTTCTAAGATCCTGCTTTTTCAGAGATGTCTATTAATGGGGCATTTGAATAATTGCAAGAAAAAGTAATAAAAAAGAGATCCATGCCTCACAGTTTCTTGGCCCTCAAAGGCTAAAACACAAAAATGTGGCTACTCTCATGGATATTATAATGTGGAAAGGCAACTTACATCATAAAAGAATATATAAGTTTGAGGACTACTATGGGTCAATAGGGGGAAACACTCACGTTGAAATTTAGAAATTTAAGTCAAGGAATGGTAGCAGGTAATTTATGAATCATTTGGTTTTTTTTAAACTAATATATATTATATATATTATAAATAATATATGTAATATATATTATCTCATTGAATTCTTTTTTTCAGGAATAGTTTTTCCAATCTGATATTAGAATTCTAGGTTCTTTCCCTCTCTCTCTCTCTCTCTCTCTCTCTCTCTCTCTCTCCCTGTCCCTGATATATATTTCTATAGCACTGTCATTTTAAGAAGTCACTTGAATTCTCTGTACCATATTTTCCCAAGTGTTAAGTAGGGATAATGTGATCTTCCCAGGTTGCTGCTTCATAATTCAATTTTATTTCATACATAGTCAACACCCATTTTGTTCCAGGCACTGTGCTGTCAGGAAATAGAGATAATACACCAGTCCTGGCCCCGAGGAACACATATTAAAGACTGACAAATATGAGCAAACACATTTGTGCATGGAGATGGGTAAGGAGACATCTACGTATTAAGAGTGAGGGGAAGGATGATCATTTCGGGGCCAGCAGAGGGCAAAGAGCACTCTCTGGGAGCAGTCATAATTAAGTTGGGTTTTAAAAGATAAGTAAGAGTCTCTCAGCAACCTACGAGGGAAGAGCATTCCAGACAGAGGGAAGAACATGTCCTTGAGAGCCTCATGGTCCAAACAAGGAAAGCAGTTAGATACATAGGGTTCTGGTGAGGATCAAATACGATCATACATGTCAAAGAGCTCTGAAAATTTTACCTTGTTTTACAAAAGTCAAGAGCTTTTTTTTCTTTGAATGTTACCAGCATTTTTTAAATCACAAAAATAAGCCAAACGTGAATAAGCACCAGCCAAGCAATACTTGACTAGTCGTTCCCCATGGAACATTATGGTGCACAAAAGCATGGCATTATTTAGGGGGCATGACTCTGGGACCATCATTCACTGAAATTCCTAGGTGATTGTTATTTTGGCCTAAGACCCCCTTTCTGGGGCTGTCGTTGAGAGCAGACCCAGACTTCTCACATATCCCCACCATCCACCTGTGCTCCTGTCGGAAGCTCTAAGGGCAATTTGTTAATCTCAAATCAGAAAATGTATGGTTTTCACCAAATGTGGGTTATTCTGCTGGGTACTGCAGCAATTGTTGCTTCATTTGCCTACTTGAAGCCCTGAAAACAGTGATGAATGCAGGTTACACACCAAAACAGTTGACATGGAGTATTCATTTTTGTTGTCCAAGTGACAGAGCCCATCGTTAGGAATGACGATGCCTGCCAGTTTGCTGTCCATTCCAAAATGAGAATCAGCATCACTCACAAAGACCAGGAGATGGAGGGAGTCGTTCCGCCAGCCAATTTTTTCCTACAGTGAGAAAGAAATATTTGGGTTGTACGGGATAGAGGCAGGCATTTATTGAGAGTGGATCAATTATGATTGGACACATTAAGATCATAAAAACTATAATCCTAATCCATCTATTTTGGCCCTTTTCATCTCTTGTGAGTTGATACTATTAATGAATTAAAAATATGAAACTCTATGGCATTTGATTTTTCTTGGATAACACTTTTAGATGATTTATGCTTCAGAAAAAACCGTTCCACTATAATCACTATCCAGTTGATCTTGACTTTTACATAGTTAATTATTTTTACTGTCCAGCTTTCAATTTACCAGAAAAATGAGGAGAGGGAATGAGGGAGGTCATAGATCATTCCAAACCCAAGTCTAAGCAAAACTAGTAAGAATGCAATACACAGTGGACTTAAAGTATGCCTGTTTTATTAAAATGTCACCCAACGTTTAGGCACATTTTTCTTTTTCTACTGATACCATCCAAAAATTATAAATGTAACACAAATAAAAGAATTTTTTTTTCAAAATCAATCCCCAGCATACGGCTTTTTAAGATGATCTGTTGTCTGTTTCTTAGCAGAGCTCCCCACTTTAATTGATATTATTCCAGGAACTAGCGGGACAAAAGCTCATACTGGCAGTGCCATCCCACCTGGCCCCTTTTCCCTTTTTCCCTTAATACCTTGGCTCCTCCACCTTCCAGAACCTTCAGCCCTGTCTGTTTCTTGGTATTTTCCAGGAAGACCTGTCATCTGGACAGGGGAATCATTCCCTTGGATACCTGTCTGATTGTCAAGGAGGGGCAATGCCCCTGCATTGTTGTAGGGACAGTGTAGCTTCTGGTACTTATTTTGTTGGCTCAAAACAATAGATGTCTAATCTTATGTAGAACTTTATACTGATTAGGGCATTTTTATTTTTCATTAATTTCTGCCTGTGATTTTTATTTTTACCATGGTTTATTCAAGAACAAATCTGATCTTGATCTTTGAAAATTGATCATACCTAACTATTGTTTTAACCAATTTTTCCCAACACTACTATAATTTTATTGGATTATTTGAATATCAGGCATTAAAAAAGTGTCCATTTCAACATTAATAAATTACAAATTTTTGGAAATTTTTTGTTTTAAGAAATATAGAAATATGGCAGTTAAGGGAAAGATGGCTAAGCTTTTCAGAATAGATTTGCTAATAAGAGATGCAATTTAGGTTACCCCTCAGCATACCTTACACACAGCAGCTTGCATAATTGCATCAAATCCGCCTTCTGGTGTATCAATATTAGCAGAAATTTTCTGATTCTTCACAATTTCATTGAATCTTTCAGCATCATTTGTTAATGGCAGAATGTGCTTGAATCCAAATGTAGGTAAGCAGAAGTATGGAATACTACTGCAAAAGTAAGATGTGAAAATGTTCTTGATGAATTATGATACAGCACACAATTAATGGATCTAGCAGCCTAGCAACTTCATCTTATATCAAGATGAATTTTCCTCAAGTACCTGACTCTGTAACTTGATTATGAATTTCCCCGTTAAGGTTGTTCATGATCTTCCACCTACCCCTTCCAAACTGACCCTATTAGCTCGCACTTAGAGCTTACTGTGTATTTTACTCTGATTCAAGCTCAGATAACAGATAATCAGGTCAGACTCCCCACTCCTCTGTGTGTGTGTGTGTGTGTGTAATCACTACCTTCCAGTGCTTCTCAACCAAAATCTACCATTAAGCTTGCGTGATGACAACAATTCCTTTGTATTCTGCTAGCTTAAGCTATTATCAAGTATGAGTCACCCTATAGCAAGACTGAGAGATACCTGTCTTCTTTCTTCTCTGCTCCTTCCTGTACTCCAAACCCTACCTGCCAAGGGCCCAAAAGTCAGCGCCAGGACTCTTGGTTCTCTAGCTTGATTCTGTTATGACTGAACAGACTGTTGCATACCTGGCTAGGAATAAGACTACCACTTAAAATAGTTGACACATGGGAGAAATGCCATGTTAAGAGGAGATCTGCTCCAAAGATATTGCAGTTGAACAGAAAAAGTTGATCATGAACTCAGCCACATCTTATTCTAAAAACCAGTTAGTAAGACCTTGGACAAGTTACTCAACCCTTATGAGATTTGGGTTTTCATTTGTAAAATGGAGATAATAGTATACAGCAGAGGCTTTCAAAGGATGGTCCTTGAACCAGCAGCATGAGCATCACATGGGAACTTGTTATAAATGCAAAATCTGGGATCCTATTCCAGACCTACTGAGTGAGATATGTGAGGAGTGGGCTCAGTGTTGCATTCATATCTTCCTGACGCATTCTGATGTTTGAGAAACACTTGTATAGAAGTATGGAAACAGAAGAGAGTAGTCCACAGTGAGGTTGTGCTATGCTACCTGGGGAGAGCTGGTTGATTCTTGTGAGAATAGTTTTTTGGTTCAGTAGCCAAAACTTTGTGTGTCACTGGCACACAAAGAACTGGAGCATCCTTCAGGGTCAGGGTCCTGTTCACCAAGTTCATCTGCCCGAGTCAGTCTTCATTATTCACAGAATCCATCTCTGCGAATTCACCTACTTACTAAAATTTATTTGTAACCCCCAAATCAATACTTTTAGTACATTCTGAGTCATTTATATACACACACAGAAGGGAAAAAAAATTTGAGTCACCTGATTCACATGTTCCCAGCTGAGGTCAAACAAGGCTCTGTGTTCTTACTTCACCTCTCATACTGTAAACAAGTGTCCTTTTTGTCATCTATTTGGTTTCCTTTTCCTTTTTTTTTTTTTTTCAATTGTGTGCTTTTTGTTGATGATTTTGCTGTTTAGAATGGTCCTGCAGAGTAGTGCTGAAGTGTTGTGTAGTGTTCCTAAGTGCAAGAAGGCTGTGATGTGCCTTATAGAGAAAATATGTGTGTTAGATAAGTTTGTTCTGGCATGAGTTATAGTGTTGTTGGTTGTGAGTGCAAAGCTAATGAATCAACAATATATATTAAATAAGGTGTCTTTAAACAGAAAGACACAGAAAATAAAGTTATGTATTGATCAGTTGGAAAAAAAAAAAAAAAAAAGTCCAGAGGCTTGCATGAGCCTAATCCTGTATTTTTTCTAGGAGCAATGATTTAGCATTAGCTAAGTAAGTATTTGAGGATACTTTATAGAGCAAGACTCCCATGAGTAATGAGAATCAACTATACAAATCAGAATGATTGTGGATGCACTCACACTGAGAGATGGGGCTCTGCTGGGACCAAAATGCTAGTATCTGCAAAGGTAGCAATTTTTTTTTTTCCCCTGTCAGTAGACTTTAATGGAAAGCAGATCATAATCCAATATGTCCTCATGCTTTAGAACAAGGGGAGTTGGATGACCCCAGCAGTCTGAGATGTCCTAAGACAGCCATCTCCAGAATGGATGCTCTTGGTCATATCTGGCTCCTCCCTCACCTGTGGTTGGCTTCCTCAGCTAACAAAGTTTAGGACGTTCTGATAGTCAACGGGACTAGAAACTCTGGAAGGGCCTTGGTTAAGGCTCTTGGGTGCATGTGGCCCATACTTGCCTCTGGAACCGCTCTTTCTTCACATTCCCTAACCTCCCATGAGCAAACCTACAGGCCTGTTCATTCTTTCAGCTCTGTCGAGATACCTGGTCTGGTGGGCCCAGGAAGCCAGCCTACAGTTTACAGGGAACTTTCTGATTTTCTTTCTGACTCATTATATTTCACTTTAATTCTCAGAAGGCAATCGTTTTCTCTTATTTTCAATATCTTGCATCAGCTTTCATTGAAGCTCTGAAGTGCTGACCACAGATAGTATCTACTTAGTAAGATTGTTGTAAGGCTTGAATGAGCTAAACTATGCAAAGAACACAGCACAATGAGCTTTTCGGTTAAGTGCTTGCTAAACCTTAATGTCATTTTTTTTACCTAAATCACTTTTACACAAAGTCTAGCACAGACTTGACAACAGATCACAGATTTGGCCAATGGCATCTCAAGAATTGTATGTTTTTTACTGATCAAATATTAATACAGGTTCACTGAAGAAAATTTGAGTTAATATAAAGGTATAAAGAAGAAAATAAAAACATAAATGTTAAGTTATGAGATATATCACAGTTTATTTGATAATCTATTAATAAAATTTTATTTCATAAATCTTTCCATAATTAGATAATGTTGTGATCCTTTCGCATACACCTTTGCAGGCTATGCTGTATCTCTGCTGAGAATTGACTCCAGAGAAATTGCTGGGTTACTTTTCAATCCATACTAGCAAATGTCTTTCCAAAAAGTTTGTATCAGTTACATCGTTATAAACAAAACAAAACAAAGCAAAACAAAACAAAAATATACCAGTTGATTAGTTAAAAATGGCATCTTAATTTAAGGTTTAATTTCTATTTTATTGCTACTAAGACTGAGCACTTGTTCATATTTATGGACAGTTTGTATTTCTTCTTTTGCCAATTGCCAGCTTACATCCTTTGCTCATTTTCTTATTGGGGTATTTTTTTTTATTTTCTAACTAAATTTTAAGAACCATTTCCCTTAAAAATATTAACCTTTTGCCTTTGTGGTTTGTATTTTAATTTTGTGTATGCTGTTTTTGGATATATACTTTAAAACTTTATGTAGTCAGGTTTGTTTTCAACCTTCAAATATGAGATGTATTTTAAAGAATTATATGAGGAAGATGTTTAATTTTTTTTTTCAAATCGTTACCTATGAAATGACAATAATTTATCATTTGTTCTAATTGCTCCAATAGCATTTAACGTAGTTGTGTGCTGGAAGAAAATGCATTTGATTTAGAATAAAAAGACTGAGAGGTGATCTATCGTTGGGCAAGTTACTTCACACTGCTGGGCCTCAGTATCTTCATCTGTAAAATGAGACTGGTGCACCTACTTGACGAAGTTCTTGTGGAGGTTACACGAGATAAAAAGTATGCAACTATGTGAGGTGCACCACTGTCCCTATGAACTAAGTATTCTTGAAAATTGTTAGTTTAACCTTTTATTTGGGGCTGCTTGCTCACACTGTACAAAAGTGACATTTGAACATCTTCTGAAACCAAAGAAACTAGCATTCCTATCTTTTTGTAAGAAATGTACATCTTTGTTGGTAAGAATTGCTAGGCAGATCTTACTAGAATGCATGCTTTTGGAAAATGGAATGAAATTCAGTAAACACACATGTGTGCTGGGAGACCGAGGTAGCTAAAGCAAAGCAGAATGTCAGGCTTGGGTCATGCCAGGAAATTTTGATTAGAGACTCCCCCTGTTTTGGTCAGAGTCTTTCCTCTAATGAATGCTCATATTGGGCTGTTATTTTCTTGGCATAGCAATTGAAGGAAGTAGGTACTCATTACCAAATAATTTTATTTTGAGTCCCTAGATAACAATAGATTTTCATTTAAAACGAAGAATATGTTAGAATCTCAATGCTATGGTTAAGATTCAGACTTCCCCACTTTCTGGGCTTTAGTCATACATGGTCTCAGTTGGTGTGAGATCAAGTCCCCTGCATCCAAAGTGCTGACAGCAGCAAGCCTGCTTGAGATTCTCTCTCTCCCTCTCTCTCTCTGCTCTCCCCCCCTGCCCCCCACTTGTGCTCTCTCTCTTTCAAAATAAATAAATTAAAAAAATAAACTGCAGAATTATTGTGAAACACAATATACAAAAATACTATCTACATTTTTTGTTAGACTTTTAAATAAATGTACACAAACTAAGATTACAATGATACATACCAAATAGCTAACACCATCGTTTTGAGTGGAATTAGAAATAATTTCCATTTTCCTCTTTTTGTCTGTATTCTCACATGGGCTAGTTATTGCCTTTGCAAAAAGAAACTGTTCTGTACACTCATATGTGTTTGTGTGTGTGTACATGTAAGAAATCTAAGCATTTCATGGTTCTACTTCCTCTTTTGCAAAACTATAATGAATACCTCATTGCCGGCATCATATTAAAAAAACCCACAAAACAAAACATAGCACATGTGGAATGATGTTAAAAAAGAAATCTCTCAATATGTTTGATAGAGGGAGAAAATTTGACCTTTGTGCTATTAAATATTTTAAAATGCGTATTACAACCTATCTAACAGATATGAAAATGGGGAAAATACATTTTTGTTAGTGTATCTTAAACAATAGCATAAGGAAAACTTCTTTAAAAACTGTAAGCCACTTGAGCATTCTTTACATGGTGTAATAAAATTTTTTAGTGACCCTATATCCAAGGAAGATAAAGAAAGAAACTACTCCTAAAAGCATTAGAGATTAGATTAAACAGGTTTTAAAAGTGTGGTGCACAGACCCACATAGGTCCCTGAGACATTTTCAGAGAGGCCATCGGGTCGAACTATTTTCTGATAATAATAAAA